AATATTTTACATTACAACATACAACTAGCATTTTCTGCAAGACTAAAAAACTCTAAAATAATAAATACATTTTAAAAACATCTCCGATCTACCCAAAATTTTGTAGGTAGATTGATCTTCTCCAATTCGCCCCTTGAAAAATGGAGGTGGCACCATTTATAATCGGAGGGTATTGTAATGTTTTCTATATTTGCGAAATACCGCAGCCCTTCATATTTTTTATTTTTATTTTTATTTTTATTTTTTAATTACAAATAGATCATTTGAGATTACTTTCTAATCATGCAAAAATGAAATATTAGGCTGAAAATATAAAAATAAAAAATTATACTTTAATTTTTTTAAACATGAGAATATAGTTGAAGTTGGTCTAAAGGCTAAAATTACTTTAAAATAGTATTATATTTTTTTATTATATAATTTTTACTATTTTTATATAAAAAAATATTATTATTATTATTAGTTTAAATCATTATATATAATACGTATATATATAATCAACTTTTTTTTTTTTAAAAAAAATCAAAACTAAAATAAGAAATATTAAGCTTAAGCCGTTAGTGTATTTTTTTTTTATATTTATTTATTCTTAAAAAATGACGTAGAAATTTATAGTCATAATTCCTTCAAATGTGTTTTTTTTTTTTTTTTTTTTTTATATATTTTTTAATATAATGTAGAAATCTACCGTCATGTTCCTTCGAGTGTGTCCCGGTAAACCTTTCACTTCAGAGTCTTGTAATCACCATTCGACATATTACTTTTTGAGCAAGCATTGCACACTTAATTAAGTTGAGGATTCGGTCCAAGTCTCACAATTTACAAAACAATTGCCAAATGTAAAGACAAAATTGCCCATATACAGTTTAAATCCTCCATTTACTTTAAAAATTGCATGGTGTTTCTCTATACTTTAAAAAATATTGCATGAAACTCCACAGTGGTTTTAAAACTCGACGTAAATCTCCAATTTTAAAAAATTGGATGGCGCACTCTTATACTTAAAAAATTATTGCATGAAACCTCCGCCATGCAAAACATACAAATAGAAAATTATATTCTCATCGTACAAGAGAGTTTTCGTGGCGATGGAATTTCATGCCACGTTAAAAAATATAAAGGTGTTTCATGCAATTTTTAAAGTATAAGAACATTTTAGGTTGAATTTCGAAATTATACCAATGTAAATAATAAACAGATGCACGTCTTCCTTGCTATGATTAAATATTCAAATCAAAAGAATTACCAATTCGAAGAACAGCGGCGACAGCGGCAGCGGCAGACTTACCCAGGACTGGATATGGAGTAAAACTCACCTCTAGCTGCTTTGATTTGATTTGATTTGTTGTTTTTACACAAGAGAAGAAGAAGAAGACGAAGCAGTAGTCTTACCCCAGTTCCAGTCCCGGACAAGTCTCCCCCACCAAATCATCTATAAATTGAAGGTTCACAGCTGAGCTGAGCCCTATATATATATATATACACACACACACAGAAACTCACAGAAGCATAAACACGAACAGTTGGTGTGCATAAATCTGCAGTGGTCTAAAGATTCTTGAGGAAAAACAGAATAATGTCAAAAATTATTATTATTGTGCAAAGATGATTGAATTGATACGCACACGAAAGCTGCTGGCAATTGGGGAGAAGAGATGCTGATGCTAATGCTATGTCAAATCAAAGCAAATAATATCAAATCGAATTGATGATGGCAGCAGCACCCACCCACCCACCCACCATTATGATTACAATGATTATGATTATGATTAGTTATTGAGAATCCGTCGCTGTCGCTGTTGCTACTGCTTTAATTTTTTAATTACTTGCTGACGCTCTCCCTCTCACTCATTCTGTCTTTATTCGCTCCAAAAAGAACGGTGCTAATCTATTACTCCCTCCGTCCTACATATCATGTCCATTATGCAGTTTTTATCCGTCTCACATATCATTTTTTTTAAAAAACAATTACGCACTTTAATCTCATTTTAGATTTTTTATTTTTTTTTAAATTTTAATTAAACTAATTAATTATCTTAATCTTAATTTATAATTATTTATATTATCAAATAATTATTTTTATTAATACATTCTTAATTATCTATTAATTACACCCCTCCTAAAATAGTAGACACGGTATGCGGGACTGAGGGAGAGAGTATTATTATTATTATGCTTTTTTTATTTTAAAGAAAAAAATATAAAAATTTTAAACTAAATTCTGGCTGACGTTGGAGTTGTAATTATTATTTTATGATGATGGATACATTAATTAATTAATTAATATTATAAGTGCATAAATACTTTATCTGTCCCACATTTTTTATTTTCGTCTGTCTAACGTAATTTGTCTTTTTTATTTTAAATATATGATTATACACTTTAATCACATTTTAAATTTTATAATTTTTTTTTTAATTTTACTTAAACTATTTAGTTATCTTAATCTTAATTTATAATTATTTTAATTATACAATAATTATTTTTTACTAACACACTTCTTAATTACTTACTAATTATATTTTACCTAACTTTTTGTTTCTACGGTAATAGTCTCATATTACCTGGGACGGAGGGAGTACTATATTTGTGCCGGCGGTTGCCGTGCTGAATTTTAAGCTGACAACACACCGCAGCACACGGTGTTACTACCGGTAGCACATTTATATAATACAAATACAGCACATGAACTAACAACACTTGCTATAGTCTTATACAACACAATCAACACTTGATTTCAACACACCACATACTATTATACAACACACTTATAATTATGAACCAACAATACAAATACAACACATGAACTCACAAAACATGTTATAGTCTTGTACAACCCATTTACTAATTGATTTCAGCACACCCACGTACTGTTATACAACATGTTATAATTATAAAGCAAAATCACCTGTCATTATTATATACAACATGTGTTTGTGTATAATAAAACTGTGTGCTGTTTGTCTATATTACGGATGATAATTTGAAAAATCAGCACGGTGCCGATTTTTCCAATTCAACACCCTAACCGTTACTATTTTTGTCCTAAATCATTCATTATTTTTATTTTTATCCTGACCATAAATTCATTTACACACAATGAAACTAGATAGTACTTTTTAAATATCAAATAATTTGTATATATAAATTATCTAAATGTATAGTGAATTTTTATTTTTATTGGGCTTTGGATCGGATGTTTCTTTTGCGCGAAACCAAGGCCGATCCTAAATATATATGGTATGAATTACTATGTTAAAGAAAAATACTTGCTGTTAATTCATGTTTTTAGATATGCTACATAAATATATTTTCTTGTACCATTATTAATGACAATATATATATATATGTTTTATATTATACTCTTTTCGTCCAATTTTTATTGTTCTAAGATATATTTACATAGTTTTTTAGGTGATTATTTTTTTATTATGATTTGATAAATTTGCCATTAGTTGTACAGTAGAGATTATAAGTAATAAATAAATGAAAGGTAAAAATATAAAATTTGTATTTAAAAGAAAAATAAGACAATAATTGTTAGACGCCCCAAATAAAAAAATAGAACATTAATTTATGGCCGGATGAAGTATCTTCTTATAATTGTATTATTTTGTTACCAATCATTTAGCATATTAATATATATATATATATATTGTATTTGTATCTATCATAGCGGTGGTGTTTGTTAGGACGGTGCTACCGCCACCGCATAAGAGAGACGTACACTACATGTAATTTCTACTTTGTCTGCTGGCCGCCCTAATAATAAATAAATAAATAATAAATACGTAAATGAAGCCATATGGTATGGATTCAACATTTTGGGTGTATTTGTTTAGGGGATTGGATTGGATTTACACACTGTTCATTTAATTTTTTTTTCAAAAATATAAAATCAAATACTTATTTTTTATTTTTTATATTATACTAAAAATTTATTTTTTACTATTCAAATTCAAAATTTTTACTATTCAAATCCCAATTCAAAATTCAAACCTCCAAACGAACATATGTATTCAAACATAGTTATCGATGCAATAAATATGTCTTAAATAATCTGTCATAAGTGTGTTTGTATCGGGATTTCAAAGATTTTTAATATTTATTAAAATTTCTAAAAGAGACATATATATATATTTTATATTATATTAATAATTAATTTAATATTAAATGATACTAAATAATTGTCTTACTTAAAAAATTAAATTTAATGAGATATACTTATTTATTTATACTAAAGTCAACACATTTAAAAAGTATCATATATATGTAACGTGGATGATGAATAGAATTAGATGGAATTTAAAACTCATTTGATTATTTTAAATATTTTTAATACTCCTTCCATCCTATATAATTTGTTAATATTTTTTTCTAGAAATCACGTAATAAATTTTATTTTAATTTTAATTTATAATTATTTTTATTAATATACTTTTTAATTATTTATTAAACATATTTTACCTAAATTTCTGTATCTATGTAACACACCCAAATTACATTAAACGCACAGAATAGTATTTTATTTCAAATATTCATTCCAAATAAATTTTAAGTACGAAGTATTTAAAATTTATTTAAAATTCAATCTTAAATTCAAATCCATTTAACCGATCAAAGCCCATCCTTTTGGGTTTCTAGAGATAATTATATGCAAATAGATATGGTACTGATTTGATCGGTTGTTATATGGGTGCCGAACATACGTTTATATATATTGTGTTATAAAAATATATGTTGGGTTATAATATAATATAAATTGTACTATAAATATACTGAAATATGTACTGATTCGGTCAAGTCAGCACCACGCTAATTTGACCGGATCAGCAGCTGATCCATGCCAATAAATAAAGTCGACGATATATAAAATTCGATGGAGTTTATTACAAGTACAAAACAACTTATTGGCACATACATTTTCCGCTTTAACAAACAGCACACGATATCCATTCCATCGACAAATTTTCCAAGAAAACGGGATCGGAGTTCGCCTGTCACATATACCCGTGGATGAATTTTCTCAAAGGATCGAATCGAAGATCGCCTTCGGCGACGGCGATCCGATGCTTCAAGCTCCGATTTTCGTCCTCCAACCTCGCTTCCCGTCTCTCGCTCTCTTCCAGTTCCTTCACAAGCCTCGCCTCCCTCTCTTGGCATTGGCGCAGCAATTCTCGCAGCTCGGCGTTGATTCGATTCAAATCTCCTCGACACTCTCGCGCGCGTTTTCGCGCCCTCATACGGTTGAACCAGCTCGCGACTTGCTCCATATCCAGGCCTGTGGCTCGCGACAATTCGAGCTTTTTTTCTTTCGTTAAGTGCTCCGAATCCTCGAAAGCCATCTTCAGCAATTCGATCTGTCGCCTTTCGAAACGCTTCGCCATTTATTTTATTTTATTTTATTTTAATATAGTCGACTTCATGTTCGCTAGCATTGTTCTTCCCCGCGAATTTATATCGCGGGGGAAAACAGCATTGTGTAAATAGAGACAAATGCAAGAAGCTGGATTGAGTGTTGTTAGATTAATCATACAAACAAAAATGTTGTCTTAGATTCCTAGACTTTTGAGATGTTGAGATTTCTGTCTTGTTCTTAAGTTGTTGTACGATAATGACGACGAAAAAGCTAAGAATTCGTTGATCTCCAAGAATCGTTACTCTCTAGCTATTCGATTAATTAAATTTTTCGTGTCTCAAAGATTCCATCTTTGTCTGGACATACAACCTTAAAAACTCCTCATCTATGCGCATAAGCGCGCCACATTCCTCGTAGGAGTGGGTGTACTAAGGGATTCGGGGGAGCTGCCCTCTCAACCCCTAATTTTTATTTATTTAGTATAAAAAATCAGAAATGATTATATTTATGCTAAATTTGCTTTTTTTTTTTTTTTTTTTTTTTTTTTTTTCTAAATTTCAGTTTATATATATTTTTTGTCCCTATTTATTTATTTATTTATTTTTTCATCCTATTGGAGTCGAAGAAGACAGGATCGAATCAGTAAAAGTAAGCCGACAATTTGCCCCCAGAGTCACTATTTTATTTATTCTTTTAGCTTTTTTTTTTTTTTTTTTTTTTTTTGTCATGGCTTCTATTAGATCTCTCGAGTTTGGTTTCCAATAAAAAAAATGACAAGCATTGTAAAAGTGAGGGGCTCCAAAAAGAACATCCATGTTTGCCGGCATGCTCATCGCCAGGGACGGAACTACACTAATTGACCCCTCAAATCCAAATTTTTTATAATTTTTTTAGTATTAAAAATATTATTTTTTATGTATTTATATACAATTTGTCTCTCAAAATTATCTAAATTTATATATAATTCTGGTATTATTATTTATTTAAATTTATTACCTAAATATTAAATAACTTATAACATTTTGCCCATCGGGATTTAGATGCTAGTTTCGTAACTGCTCATCGCGGATAGGCGCGAGGAGTTCGACAAATTGAGGCGATCAAGATGTGTATACATAAATAAAGTTAGGCTATAGAAAGCGGGAACATGGAGAAGATGATACAAATTTATTTAGTTCGGCCAAAAGGGACAACGTTTAGTTTGCTCCGATTGAGCCATTGTTCGTTGATATTGGACTATTATTTAACTGGAATTCGGACATCCGTGTCTTTCTGACTGTGGGTTTTGGGTTTGTAATATTAAAATTTTAAATTAAAATAATAGTCGGATGTAATTTTTTGTTTTTAATGTATATTAATTGTTTATTTAATATAAAATTTAAAATATATATTTAATTTAATATTTTTTATAGAAAAATAAATAAATAGGAAAACTAAAGTTAGAAAGTATCACACAAACAAATAGAGGCTGAAATGATCATATAGCTGTGTTTAAATGTAATATTGTATTATTGATATTTTTACAACAATTATATATTTAGTATATTTTAAATTTAAAATATTATTTCAAAAAATCATCTTTTTAATTGAAACATCACATTAAGTATATCTTTTTTTATTTAAAAAAAAAAAAATCATCGACCAAATAATTGTCTTATTTGATGAACCTATACAATATATCAATAAAAGACTAATCCAACCAAAGAATAAGATTGGAGAAACAAACAAGAGAATATCATATGATAAAGAGAATTTTATTAGATTGTCCAATATTATATTCTTAGTTATCATATATATTTTTATTTATTTTATTTATTATTTGTTTTAAAAAAATACACGCACTTGTAATAGTCCATTTTCACAATTCTTCTAATTAAACAAATATACATTAATTTTTTATAAGCTAATTTATACTATTAATCTTCTATGTATATATATATATATATTTATTTATTTGTATTCTAATTATTTATAAACTAATTTTAATATTTATTTTAGTGAATATAGTTTATAAAATATTCAAAATATATTTTTTAATTTGTTTTTAATCATATTTATATATTACATCATAGTTTAAACATTAAAAAAAAAAATAGTTTTAATTTGAATCTAAATTTCAATTTAGATATATATTAGATGTAATATTATGAAAAAAAATAATACTCCTTCCGACTATTGGTACCTAAGTATATATTTTGCTATTTTTTTTGTTGTTTAAACTCTATACATAAAGTATTCAATTTTTACACTAATAACTTTACAAATTATACTCCGTCAGTACCATAACTATATATCCATTTATTTTTTGTACGGAGTTTTAAAAATATTAGTATTTTATTAGAACGTAGTAGGAAGTAGAAATGACTAAAATAACATTATTAGTATTGTGTGATATAAAAATTAATGATATTTGTATAATATATTGTAAGTTGTAAGGGTATTTGTAATGTTAAGCAGATAGTACACTTGCTAAAAAAAACTAGATACTTTGTTGTGGAACGGACTAAATTAGAAAAGTGAATATTTTATATAAACTATCACAAATCTTATTAAAATACAATATTTACTAGTCTCCTAGAAAAATAAATATATATTTATAAAATGAAACTAAATGAGTATATTTTTATTGATAATCTGATTAAATATTAATTTTTTGTTTGAATAAAACCAAACACACTTAATATTGTTAGAACAAAATTAATAATAAACAATAAAAGAAAATCCACCCAAAATAATAATTCAGATAAAAATTCCATTGATAAAAGTAAATTGCACCATTGGATAAGAGAAAGGCTTTGCTGTTGTGTAATAAGCCGTTTGAATTTATACAACAATAACTCAATTTAACATTTCATAACAAAAAGAATAATAAATATATAATCTTAATTGGTTTGGACACGATATTTAAGAAATATTAATATTATATTGATAGTCGATAAAAAATACGGAAAAAAGATTTTTTGGCGTGTATTAGTGTAAAAAGTAGCGATAACTGTGTAATGAAAGAAAAAGTAAAAGTAGTTTTTATGATAATATGATTATTTATAGAAATAAAACTATTATTTTGGAACAAAAAAAATGGTAAATAAGAATATTGTATTGGGACAGACAAAAGTATATTTTTATTAAAAATCAGCATTAATTTTTTTTTTTTAAATTAAAAACAATAAAAAAATCCAACACAGAATCAAACAAGGTGACAAAGAGCAGCAGTATAACTATTTCCCCTACAAGGACTCATCTCAACATACTCCTTTACATGATCCTTATACTTCCAAATCTTCACCCCTCCACCTTTCCCCATCGCCGTCGCCGTCGCGGTCGCCATTCGCCGTTTAAGTTCCTGATTTTCCGCGTGGACGACGGCCTCCCTCTCGCGGCTCTCCGCCACCGCCTTTTCGAGCTCGGCCGCCCTCTCTCGACAATCCTTCACCAATTTTTTCAGCTCAACGTTGATCTCCTTCAAATCCTCCATAGTTTCTCTCGACCGTTTGCGCGCTCTCATCCGATTGAACCACCCGGTGACTTGCTCCACATCCAGCCCTGTTATACGGCACAATTCGATCTTCTTCTTTTTCGTCAAATGCTTCGACTCATCGAAGGCGAGCTTAAGTTCGTCAATCTGACGCCTTTCGAAACGCCTCGCCATATATCTCTTCGACGAAGAATGAAAATATTTTTTTAGTCGATGGGGATCGAGAGGGGATGAAGAATACGAGTATTCGCGATATATATATATATATATTTGTTTCGAAGATGAAGATTTTTTGTTTTTATGAATGTTTATTCCTGCATAAGAGATATCGAAGTTTTTGTCTTGTCTTTGAGCCTTTTAGACATATGGAGAATTTATCGATGAAAAATGACGTTGATATGTACGTGTCATTGTCTTTGTTACTACCTATGATGATGAACAATACAGCCGAGACGAAAGAGGCCATTTCGACGCTAGTATTAAATGCTCGTAAGCGTTGTAAAAGTTCTTTCTTCGACCATTCTAAATTCGCTTCGCTTGCTACTTTCAAGAAATGATATTTCTGTTGGCCGAGAAATTAAGCCAGTCTACGTCGAATATGTCACGGTATGTTGTGTCTCTTTTGTAGCCGGTGTGTACGCTGTTTGTTGACGGACTCCTGTTTTTAGATAAATAAATAAATAATACATATCCTAACAACTTAAGCTTTTAGGTAAGATAGTCATTTACATCATCTAACATTGTTGTTGCAGATTTCTTGATTAAATAGCTACGCGAACATACTAGCTTCGCGTAAGTTCGGCGATAGATGTTTGCGTGCTCATACTTACGGGAACGCAATTTTCATGTTATACCGATAATTTTGGTATATTAACTAAGTATTGATATGAAATTTTTTATACAGTAGTTTCTTATATACCAAATGGTTGGGATGAATGGCAGTGTCGTCTCCGATCAACCTGTTGGGCTCAATGGATATCACTTTTGGGCTAGCCGTTAAGGTCACAACCCCTAACTCATGGGCTTTGACTTATTAAGCCTTTTCTTCAATGTGTTGAACTACCGTGGACGTTACTAGATTTCTACTTAACGCGGTTGGGCCTCGCTCGACACGGTTGGACGTCACTCGGGCTTTGTCATACAAGGCTTCAACGATCCGAGACATTTTGAGGCGAGGGTAACAATGTAGTATTTTTCCAAGCCGATATGTACTGAACCACTCTTACATACAACATATATATATATATCAATGTACCTCTAACTAAGGTGATGCAATATAAGCCAATTTGCCAATCGAGGTCCCGCAAGGGATGTACTGGGGTGGACCGTAAGGTCATGTGTTTAAATTCCGACGCTTTCAAGTCTTGTCTGTCAAACATAGTTTTCTTAGCAAATTTTTAAAAGAAATTCTGAAAAATACTACATGGAATTCGAATATATGGAAATATGTATATATATATATATATATATATTGAATGCAGCACAGATCCATAGTGCACATACTTCACAACAGATCCTCTTTCCAATCAAGAGAACTATATATGAAAATGCTCCAAAACAACATCAGAAGTATGGTAGACTATTAGCAAAACATGAAAGGATTCATTGACATTTGTCATCAGTTGCAAAAAAACAGGTAGGTCATGCCCAAGAATTAATTGTTGGGAAAATCCATTAATCTGTACTGGAAAAAAAATTAAAGCAATAATTTGAGTGGGAAAAAAAAAAAAAAAAAGAAAAAAAACAAGAAGAAATCAAAATCATAGTTCAGATTTGATTTCAAAAGAGGTAGAAACGAAATGATGGAAATGTAAAACAAAAGTTCTATTTTTTTATATTATATTTCTATATCCAAATCAAAAAAAATAAAAAATTCAAATAAGAACACTAAAACAAACAATATAACATTAACCTTCAATGCCACAACAAAGAAGTAAGACTGGAATAAAAAATTAGCTTCAAAATGCAGCAAAACAGGTAAATTACTCATCATCGAAAGTTCATACTGAATGGATCCAACAAGAACAGCACAAAAACGACAGAAAGAGACTTAGCCAGGACTGGATATGGAGGAAAACTACTGACTGCTATAAATATGTCCCCAAAAATCAAGGCCATAAGAACAGATCATCATGTCTGTCTCCACACCCAGCCCTGCCAAGTCTTTCTGCCAAATAATTTCTATCTTCACCTCTTAGATTAATTCTCCCTAATCAATACACAAGTTACTGACATATATATACACATATATGAGGATAGATACACGTACGTAAGCATATATACATACATACATACACAGAGGCATAAAAACAAACAGTTGGTGTGCACAATCAGGGGGAGTGACGAAATTAATTGACCTGAGGCCGGATTGGCGGGGGTTTGTCTGGTGGTCGAAGGAAATATTATCTTGGAAGAATATTCCTCGTAGGAGACACAAAGACTGCTGCCAATTGGGGGGATGAGATCAATTTGGGGGTGATGATGCCGCCATTAAAATTAGGTCTGTTGCTATTCTGAGTCAGTTTGACACTCACTCAGCAGTCTGCAGTCTGCAGTCAGCAGCAGAAATGGCAATCTGTGCTTAACCATTCACAAACCACCTTCACGCAATCATATTACGCTATGCCCTCTTTAATAACTATTTATTATTATTATAATAATAAGAATATTATTTTATTTTTATGTATACGTCAAATTGTTGAGCTTGTTTGTTTATGATCTCAAACATAAATCTACACAATTAAATACATATAATTTTTAATAAAAATATAATACTCTCCGTCCGATTCCTATCTTTTTAAAATATATTTGTACTATTTTTTAGGTAATTATTTTTTTTATTTTAAATCGAAAAATTTATCCTTAATGGTATAATAGATATTAAAAATATTAAATGAATGAACGGTAAAAAGTAAGATTTGTGTTTAAAAATGAAAATATGACAATAGTTATTGGACATTCCCAATAAAAAAAAGATATTAGTTTGTGGAGGGAGATAGTATATTTTTTCGGTTATCACATCAAAATATTATTTAAATAAACATTCAAATGTAACATTCTATTTCAAATTAATTTCAAATAAAAAACTTTCATAAATTAAAAATTGGAAATACATCCTTATATTTGTGTTAGATATTTTAGATATTCGGTTTTAAATTAATAGCTTTATATTTATATTTAATTTTATCCATATATTACATTACTTAAATTTTAAGTTTATTGAGTTCATTTTGTATATAGGTCTTTATTTTGATGATTAATAATGCAATTTCATTATTTTTCCAAAAATTTTTAACATGGTATTTGATATAGCCTACCAATCTACGTTTCTCCGGGTACATTCAACTTGGATTGTACGCGGAGGTCTTGTGATTTTGAGATCATGTCTTTGTCATTTGCCTACTGCTTGTCGGTTGCTTCCGTGCTATGATCTTTCCGATGTCTGCGATTTGTTCTGTGATCTGTTCTGTGATATGTCTGATGTTTACAATTTTTTCTGCAATCTGTCCCATGTCTGCGATCTGTTCTGCAATATATCCGATGTCTGCGATCTATTTTGCAATATGTCCGATGTCTGCGATGTATTCTGCAATCTATCCGATGTCTGCGATCTATTTTGCCATCTGTCCTATATCTGAGATCTGGTAGGCTATCTGTCTGTCTGCATTTGACTTTGATTCTATTCAAGTCCTGTCATTTTTTGCTCCGATGGAGAGTCATGTCGTTTTCGACTCTTGTGGAGAGTCATGTCGTTTTCGACTCTTGTGGAGAGTCATATCGTTTTTTACTCTAATGGAGAGTCATGCCGTTTTCAGTTTTAGTGGAGAGTTATATCGTTTTCGACTTCAGTGGTGAGTTATGTCGTTTTTTGTTCAAGTGAAAAGTCAACTATTATTTTTATTTGCGTTTTTCGCTTCTATATTTAACTTTCTTATTAGACTCAAATTAGTTTCTATTATACCACTTGAGTTTGAAAGGGAATGCTAACATATTTTAGATAATCGATTTTAGATTTAATAGTTTTAGATTTATATTTAGTTTTATTCATATATTAGATTACTTGAATTTAACTCTATCATTTTAATGATTAATAATACAATTTCATTATCTCCAAATTTTTAACAATTTCACAAAGTCCTATTTTTCCTATTTTAAGAATTCTTAACAACTTTGGATTGTTCATTAACTTATTTTTGAGTGTCACAATTCTTTATAATACTCTATTCATTAAAAAAAAAAAAAAAATTGACAATTTAACAAAAAATATTATTTTTTATATTACAATACGATTCTCATATCTAACATAAAAAAATATATTCGTTCAAAAATACAAGTGAGCACCAATACTTTCGAAAACACAGGGAAATATTATATAATTTTTAAATGATAGAAAAAAAAATATAAGAGACTTTTCAGATCACAAATGATTTATAAACAATTTTTCCATAGTTCAATAACTTATAAATTAAATATACTTTAACTCATTCCATGATAAATTTGTCCATTCACTCATCTATTATACTGTTATACTATGGTCACGAAGTCCAACCTCTACACCACCAAACCATCCCTGCGGGACTCAACATGCTCTTATTCTTGTAAATGCAGAGTGTGTAAGATGAAATAAAAATAACCGACAACCTATCAATAAGGTTGTATGAAAGGGATAGGGATAGGGATAAGGATAGATTCCCATCCACAATCTACACTACATAATAAAAATACTAGAAATGCATCAAGTAATCAACAAAATGGACTACCACCAATAATCTACGACGAAAGCGCACACTTAGGCAAATATATGAACACCAAGTCACACTTGAGTCGAATGGATTTCACTACAATAAGTCGAGTTCCATATAAGATAATGAAGATGAAAGTATATGAAAACAAACAAATGTTAGAGAGGAGCAACAATCAATGAAAATAAACGGGAATATGGAACCGACAATTCAGCATAATCTAGTTCACCACTTAACTGATTTTAACAACCTTGAAAATCCTGCAATAAAATCTTTTAAGAATGATTTGTTATAATCACCAATTAACCAAAATCATTTTATCAAAAATGTTATGTTATCCCTAAATATTAAGTAAAGATAACACCGCCTAACTATAAATTCATACCGCAGAAAATATTTCACTCTGTTCTAGAGAAGCACACAGAAAGGTAATGTAGGCTCCCAGTATATATACAAAGCATAAATTCATATATTTGTATAAAGATCAATGATAAACTTTACTTGGCTTCTCAAGAGTCAATTCATCGATATTTTCCAGCAAGCAATCTCTGGGTAGCAGAAATCCTGACGTTTGTAGCACAAGCACGACTACAAACTCTTCAGACATTTTACCTGCATAAATTATAATCAAACCATTAATGGAAGAAAGTTGCACCATATATGCGCAGGATTATTTCGAACTATATATTGTTCTTCTGATTATGATTCGACCCAGTTGCACCATTTGATTCTGAAGTATATTCTTTAATTTACATTAAAGTACAATGCAAGATTTTGATTCTTGATTATGTGTTCAATTATGCATTAGTTATAAGAGAAGTTGTTTAAATGATGTGCTATCAAAATTAAGCTATCATCTCGAAACTTACCTGGTCATGTTCTGAGTGGCGCTCAAGATTTGCTGGTTGGTGCAGGAAGATGGATTAGTCTGGAAACTAAAGTTTCGATTCCCCTGGTGCGGAAGGCATCTCCAATTCATATTTTCCTTATCTCGGGATCTCCAGAACAGGTTAGAATGTAAGAGAAAACATACGCTCTACAAAATTGATCGGCATTTTCTCTGACGAAGGAGAAGCTTCTAAACAAGAAATAGGGGTCAAGAAAGCGGTGGAGACATCTCCTCATTTGCCAAATACACGGCTGCAAACTCCTCATCATTTTTTCCTAGCATCTCCTTCAGTGTGAACTCCATTTTTCTGTCGGTAAGAACCTTATATCTCGGCTTTATCCTCTTCTCCAGAGAGTAGCTAAAGTATCTCGGATAATCAACAACAGTGCTTAAAGGTTTCCTCATCGTGTATAGTAGGAACTCTAGCTTTGGTTTCAGTACTTCTTCGATGCTGTACCCGAGTAAAGGAGAGAACCTGCTCACCATTGACTTTATCTCCTTCTTTGACAGCCCAATCCTCATCAGGTATCGAACTCTATCCATGGAAAAAATAAGAATAATATTTTATAGTTGCAATTCAGGATATATAATTTTATAAATCATTGAAATCGGAAATCATAGTGTGGAAGGATGCCTTGATCATACTCTTTACCTGGGTAGAAGAGCTCTATTGACGTCACAAACAAATAGCTCGGGATATTTTCTAACAACCCGTGGAAGGTGAGTTCCAGAAATCCCAACACTATGAAGGAATTCCAATTTCTTTTGAAGTGTTTTGTCTATGTTGGTTGCAAAAATTTCCGGACAACGACAAAGGGTTTTAGCAATTTCTTCCTCATCCAGTCCTAGGTCTTCGAAGAAGGACACAACCTGAATACACACAAAGCAATTTTAAATAAGATCTATGAGAAGCAATGGAAGCAATAGATAAACAAATATGACGAAGGTGGCGTTTGGGATGAAGTTTTGGAGATGAAATAATAACACTAAAGAAGAAAAAAATACATTCGAACAAAAAGGATTTTACCAAACTGACCTGCACAAATTCCTGAGGCTTTCGGAGCAGTAGTTGTGGACTAGTAGCAATAACTTTGCCTAGCTTCTTACTCGTAACGCCCAGTTCACCAAACTGCTTCACCATTACCTTCAGCTTGTCGATTGAACAGCCCAAAATGTGAGGCCAGTTTTTTATTGCATGACAGGAACAATGTTTTGGAACCTAAACAAGTTTGTGATATTACATATCAGATTTCAACAGCAGTAATATCGATTCAATTGGCTGATTATCTTTGTCTGAACATTTTTCGAAAGTAAAATTCCAAAAGATACACAGTTCAGGTGACAACATCAAGCATCTTATAGAGTTCTGTACCTTCTCTTCATCAAAAAAACGAATGACTTTCTCAAAGTTATGCAGAATGCTAGAAGAAATCATCCACGGATACTTGACTAACATCTTTCCAAGATCATTATCATTCACACCAATCTGCAAAGCACATTATCAAAAAAGGCTACTTATCAGTTAATTATTTCAAGAGACAACACATAGCATATGATCCGTCGAGAATACTGAGGACTACTCAAGCTGACCCCAAGAAATATACAAAAGAAACCGAAAAAGAAAGTTCGGGTTTTCTACAAAGAGATTTAGTAATTCATGAAATTTTTTTCTTCTAAAAAGATCATACCAAATACCTATTTTTTACTTTGTATATTCAAAATATCACGTCAACACTTATTTATATATATAAAACAACTAATCAAATTTACTTTTTACCGTTAAAAATTCAAACAAAAAAAAACAAAAAACACCCCAAATAAGAAATTTATGCTTTGTCAGTTTAATCGACAAAGTATTTCAGTTGAAGAATATTTCTTATGTTTCCTCTAGGTACCCGTATGTATGATTGTGTTTTCAAGTTTGCATTTTCCCGTATATCAAAATCATACATTTATTTTTCATTTAATATATTTCATTCAATTCAAAACTTGCTATTCCCAAAACACAACCAAACAAACTCCTCACACCAAAGCACACAAAGTTGTTTGCCTTATACCTTCTCATATAATTGCAGTCGTGGTTTGATATCCTTGCCAATGTCATAGAATACGATGGAAGGGAAGGGTAGAAGAACATTTCCTATTTTTTCTCTAGGAACTCCAATATCTCCCAAGAACTTCACAATTGGCTGAACATGAGATTTTAGAGGCAGAAACAGAACTCGAGGAAAAGATTCGATGAGAAGCCGGAAAGAGGTCTGCTCAGAACCTAAAAGATTCAATCCTCCACGCCTTGCTTGAATCTAAAAGTGATAAAAATGGATATTTACTCAAGCAAGCGCAAGAGAAACACAATTCAAGCCTACTGTTAACAGAAAAAACGAACACAGCCATATAATGATGCTTAAAAATCAAAACTATTTAATCGAAATGAGTTCAGAACCTTTTCAAAGAACGCCAATGTTTGCTGCAAATCTTCATCAGCAGAAATTGACAAATTGGCAATCATTCTCTGAGCATTTTTCCCAATAAGGTCATGATCATCACTGTCAGCAAAGAACACATCCTTCAAATACTTCACCTACAGACAACAAACGCAAAATTGGATGAACAACCAAAATGCTGCTACAAAATTAGGGGTACACATCATTATTTAATATATAGTCAACCAATACGCCCAAATGAATGGGAGGCAGTGAGACTCAAAGCCAGAACGTCCTGCTCTCTGATACCATTAAATGACTATTTTATCTAAAAACTTAAATTTAATAGATATGCAATATACCTCTCACGTGCAAGATAAATATACGCAACATATTGTAAAGATACACATCATATATTTATATATTATGGAATCAACCAACACATCTCTTAACGTCTCATTAAATATATATATATATATTACGAGTCAACCATCACACCCTTTCACGTGCAAAATCCACATTTAACGTAGACGATGACAAATGGGGTGGTGGGAATCTCACCTAAAATATTGTAGGATAAGCATAATTTATTTAGGGTGTGTTTGTTTGGGGGATTGAATTTTAAATACACTATTCATCCAATTTTTTCCCCAAAAAAATATCAAATCAAATCACCTATTTTTTATTTTTTATATTATACTAAAAATCAATTTTACATTCAAAAACATCACATCAACACCTATTTATTTCACATCATAGAACTATTCAAATTCAAAATATTTACTATTCAAATCCCAACTCAAAATCCAAACCCCCAAACAAACTTATATATTTTGGAGTCAACACAATCCCTTAGTGACCAACGTGGATGGGGCAATGGGGCTCAAACATGGAACTTATAACATAGCTTAAGATTAAAGGATACGGATCATTAAAAACTCCCTCCGTTTGCTAAATTTACTTTCACATTCTTTTTTAGTATTGTCCGCTAAATTTACCCTATTACTAATTTTAGTAAAGTCAATAAAACAACATTTAACTATTATTTTTCATTCAACACTTATTTACACAAATGTCACTACCTTTAATACCTTTCTTTCCTTTTACCTTTAACTAAATTTCCAAAAATACCATCAGTGTCACGGACTGACATTTCTGCCCAAGTTCTCGGCCATAGTCCGTCCCATGTGTGTGAGCCCCTGTCTGGCTAACCAACAGCATATGGCTTGGTGTAGGTACTTGTTCCGCATATTTCTTACCCAGGTTTGTTGCACACACGGGACGGCTGGCTTGGGCCTTTTGAGCCTGGGCGCCAGGCGCGTCAGCTTCCGACAAATTACAAATAGTAAAGTACCTTTTCACTTTTATAATTTTTCAATACGTGCCAGGAACCAAATGTTTTAAGGGTTTGCTTGTTCGGAAAATTTTCCTCAAAATATACTATTCATCAAATTTTTTTCTTCAAAAAGCATTGAATCAAACACATCTTTTATTTTTTATATTATACTAAATATCGATTGTACTTCCAAAATATCACAATCTATTTATATCTCATAATTCAACTATTCCAATTCAAAACTTTTACTATTCAAATCCCACCTTAAAATCCAAACACACAAACAAACACACCCTAAATTTACCTGACTTAGGGAGTATTATTTAGTCGACCAACTGTTGCTACTTGCTACATAGAAATTTAAAATAAAAATTAATAGAATACCTTGTGGATGAGCAGAGGAAGCAAATTGGAGTCCGACGACGAGAGATAGAGAGCGAAATGCGAGGCAGTGGAGAGAGAAAAGCCAAGGCTCTCCAAGAAGGGAAGAATGCCCTTATCCCCTTTCTGCTCCGCCATTTGGCGCACCTTCTTCCCGAACTCAACGGAATCTGCTTCAATTTCGTGTCCGGTAGTTTCCGTCGTGGAATTCCAGACGTCGAGGTCGTCGACGGCGTCAATCAGCGTGCTCAAATAATTAGGGCAATTGTGAGAAATTTGGGAGGCCTCTTCCCTCGAAGCTCCAGCTTGTTCTAGATACTCCATCACGGCTTCTCTTGCTTCGTCGAGGCGATTGTCGCATGAATCTTGCTCGGAATCCTGATTATGAATGGCTGAAGCGAAGTGGCGGATGTAGTGGCGGTTGTTTGGGAGGGAAATTGAAGTTGTGAGGAGGGAGAAGGAAGTGGAAATGGAGGTTTGTAGAGGGTTATGAGGAGGTAGGGAGACGCAGCAGTTGGTAGGATGAGGATGAAAGATAGATGAGAAAGAATAGGAAGAGGGGCAGTAATGGCGGCGGTGGAGGTTCAGAGTCGCCATGGAAGCGTACGGAAGAATCAGTGCGTTCATCCGTAGCTGCCGAAGAAGCAGAGATACTTTTTTGAATTTTTATAATTTTTAAAAATCAATGATGTTGTTCACATATGAATTTTACAAATGAATTTGGTGTGTTTGTTTTAATTAAGTTATTAAAAATTAGTTTGAATTTAGTATTAAAAAAAATTATTATTTCTTTTAAAAAGCGTATATGATAATATATTTTTATATTAATAATTAATTTTTTAATAAGTATATAAATTCATGAGTTTTTTAACTGTATAAAAATGATAATAATATAAAAAATAATAATCCTTCAGTCTCGAAATTAAGTATTCATTTGCTTTTTGCACGTAATTTTAAAAATTATTGATAAATTATTGGTAATGTTAGATAAATAGTACCGTTATTAAAAAAGAAAATGAATAAACTAAAATGGAAAAATAAATATTCTGTTATGGGACGGAGGAAGTAAATTTTTATTAATAGTTAATTTTTTATAAACCAATAATATATATTGAATTAATATATGTATTATAATTTTTAAGTAATTTTCTAAAAAAAATTATTTCATTGCTCTATGAACAAATTATCTATATTAAAATTTGTTTTTTTATTATTATTTTTAAAATAATACTTACGGATTTTTACTAATTTTTTTGATATGTTATAATTATTTGATATAGTAAAATATCCTACGATATTTTCGTCTTTACAAATTTTTAATATATTTTTGTAAGCATTTTTTTTAAAAAAAAAAGACAAAAAAAAGTATATAAATTTAAAAGATTATAAAAGTTTTTAATATGTCTAAAATAAAATTATTGCAGTAATAATAATAATAATAATAAATTGGACGAAGCAATAAAACACTGGGCCAGGGCCTAGTGTACCTAGGCCTCTTTACAGAGGGCCTGTTGAGCCTAGGGCCGAGAGGAATTGACGGTCCTTTTTGTGTTTCTTTGGGTTTGATAACTTTGATTTAAAACGATTTAATTTATATTTTATATTTAAATAATATTTTATTAAAAACAATATTATATTTTTTAAAAATACAATATTCAAATAGTAAAACCTAAAAATAATGTATTAAAGAAACATCCATGATGTCAAGATTTAAATGAAAATTCAAATATATGTAAATAAACTTACGAAATATATGTATTCACAAGTTATTTTGAATGTATTACCTCTCCCTCTTATTCCAATATGTGCTTTCCGTAAAGAGATTATAAAATAATATTAATTTTATTTAAAGATATTCAAAATACACCTTATGGACAAATACATACACCCTTCAATTATTCATCACAGAGAAAAAAAAATACAATTTTTATTTTTATCCAAAACCCCAAACAAACACACCTAAACAGAAACCAATGTTCTTGTACTAAAGTTCAACCTATATTTTAACCCTCTTCAGCACATCCATAATATGTAATCAATATAACACTCGGAAATGGAAGAAGTTTCGCAAAAGAGGTTTTGTCATGGTGCTATAAATGTGTCAAATTCTTGTGATCTCTAAGTTCATCTATTCATTGATCCTCAAAAAAAAGGATAGGATAGGATAGGATGAAATGAGCAAAAAATGACCCTCCACATTTATCACCTTAAACATACAAAACATATTTTCCTATGTGCGAACCTCGACTAAGCTAAACCATATTAGGCCTCTGGGGAAGCAAAAGATTGTAAAATTTATCATGTAGGAAGAAATGCTTACCTTTGCTATCCACAGCCTTTTTCCATCCACACCACCCGCCGTTCACTATTTTCTTCAGGTCTTCCCCGCCCGTGTAGTGGGGGTCGAGTATGAGAAATGCACAATCTCCGCTCACTTCATTGTAGTCGACACCCAATAGGGTGTATGCGAGTACCCCTCCACCTGCAGACAAAAGATCAGGTTCATCTTCATAGCAGGATGAAAAGTTGAAAACGGCGAATGTTCTAATGGAAGGATTTTCTGACCAATCATTATGGGCGTTCCTTGAGTCTCGAAATGCAAAGCAAGCTCGCGACATTTCTCGGGAAGCTCAGCTCCAGACCTCACATTGATGACTTTGCAACTGACCTATTGAGGTTAGGAATATATTTTTATCAAAGTTGTGCCTCGCCTAGGTTTCGGGTAAGCAAATTTATGTGTATTCATCACAGATTAATTAAATCAGTATAAATCGGATGTAATGCATGTTAGTTAAGAAATAGAAAGAAAGAAAGGAATACTTACACCGAGTAGCTTGTCCAGAACAAAGCTCAACTCAATGGCGCCAATCCATTCACGTGACCCAATAAATGAAGGGTCTTTATCCCCAATCTCTACCAGTGCTTGCTGGATTTCTCTGGATGGTCCAACATGGTATGTAAGCAGATAAAAATCGGGATATTATAAAAGGCAGATGGTAGAAGAAAATATGGTCATGCAACTTCTCTTCTTAAAATTTTCATAAGATAACAATCGTTCACATATTTTTAGGAGAACATAATCTCCTACTTCAAAATTCACTGTTTCATGTGGTCGAAGAAACAATTTTGTTCATAATGATAAACTTGAATCTAGTTTTACTCCATAGATGTGAAGAAAACAAAGGAGTAAAGACAACGTTCCATATTTGAGATGCATAATGAGTCATTTTTACCAAAAGATTATGCAATGTCTCCCATTACAATGTACATGTGGACTGGCCGCAGCTTAAGAAACGAACCACTCAAATCATTTGCTAAATTTCACATTCAAGTTCATCGATTTTTCAGCAAACAGAAGTGGAACGTAGGAAATTGACCTAGGATCCATAAAATATACCTGTGTGAAGGGACATCAACGGAAGTGTAATGTTGTTGCCTGAACCATGAAATGATAGTTTGAAGAGAACGATAAGCACAACCCCAACCCTGCCAACTCATATATTGTTAATAGGCCCGATTGAAATAGTGAAAACTATATTCTGGAAGACTAGCCAAGCCTTTTTGAGAATTATAAATATAAAATTTATATACACAGATAATACTTGGGTTTTTAATTATGTACACTTACAGAGAGCCTAATAATGACCAGTAGAATGTATGGTTATTTTGCAAACAGTTCACATATTCCTGACATCATGTGCAAAATACTTATTGAATAAATGTCGTTCTACCAAGATACATAATGAAAGGAATAATAGCAGTATAACAATCCATTCAACACAATCACGATTTCAATAATCCACATAGTAGAGAATGGAGAATAGAGACTAGCAAACATAAAACATTGAAATGAGATTGTATGTCTTATCATTCTGTCTGATATTATTCTCAACTTACTGAGCCAGGATAGAAATCTTCTCTTGAGGAATTCAAGTTTGATTCTTATTTATATGACTTCTTGGTTCAAGAAAGTATATGTAATCTATTTCATGTAACAGCTGCAGAATAAAATGGTCACTTTATTATTTTGCCACAAAGTTGAATATTGGTAATTGCTGTTATTTCGACAAACCGTGGAAACCTGAACCACTGCATGATTGCATTCTTGCTACACGTGTTTAAGCAAAGAGCAAACTTTAGATATACAAAAATCAAAGAGAAAGCATTCAAATGACTTCCCAACTATAGCAAATCCGTTTTTGCAGTATATATGACATCCATAGAATCTACATAGCCATATTCAAAACAGCAGTTCTGACGAGGAAAGTTAACATTTTAAATAAATAAATCAGAACAATGCTATAAATGGCACAGTTGCAGGAGGAAGTTTTCTTACAGAATCATCAAATCCATCTTGGAGGTAATGATAATATTCATAAGAACCTTGAATTAGAGAGGCATAACCACCAGATACTGCACAATCATTAAAATCGTGTTAACATTATTACCAAGTGAAAGTATAGAGTTGGATAAAATATACAACTAAAAAAATGTAAGAATTTCAAGTAAGGTTCAAGAATCAAGGCAACATATTACCTCCGCTGCTTGGAATACCAAGATGAACATCTTTCAGCAAATAGGAGCCTGTTATGTACATTGTACTATGTGTAAACAATCTTTTATCCACTTCAAGTAAAAAAAAATAAAAATGCCAACAAGAAGTTAAAGGCTTATAAAGACTTAATGCTTACCCTTTGGAATTGATTTGCCCCTTGTGTTTTCCTTTACTGAAGATAAGTTTATCGCGTTTGCAATTCTTAAAAGTGGGCGATCAAATGGTAACCCAAGTCTCAAATGGAGGGATCTTCGAACTTCAACTGCAATAAACTCAAGGCATACACATTATCATTACCATCAAATCTGAAGTAGAATGAAACTAGTAACTTCACCAATTCTTTATCTATTTTATAAACTTTAAATCTTCCCAGGCAGAACAGTATATGTGAGCATCCATCCTTTCATGCCACTATACTTTTTCCGATATATGAAATAGTGAATTTTGCAGGAGTATTTTTTATTTACACAATACCACTTCACATAGAGCAGGAATCAGGATGGGAAGTGCTTATAGAATTTCCTTAAAACATATCAATGGGAAGGAATCTAGATGTCTGACAGGATTTGACATCAAATCCCCTGCTTTTAAGGGGAAGTACTTATAGACTTTCTGAGAAAAGATTGAAATTGACGGGCACATACAGATGTAACACCCTGCATTGATTGTTTATATCTTTATGCTTTTTCTGATTATCAATCCAATGGTCATCTTAGAGCAGACAAGTCCCCTACACATTATTTCAGGCCTATTTTATCCAGTTCAGGCAGATCAATAATAGTATAGGACATGGGAGTTCATTCCATCCATTGAAATACTTTAGCTAAATCTTTTTTTTTGCTAACATTTTATATTTAGGAGCATTTATAAACAATGTTAGGATTAGATTTCTGTTGCTATTTATCTGTACTCAATGAGAAAACAAGATCCTGATTTCTAGCAATGTTTGAATTCTGAACACTTGATACAAGATGCACCATAAATATCCTTTCTTTTTCCAAACTACAGGCCAAATAAATACCCATGAAATAAATGTCAGTATTTTGTTGGGACTTTGATTATATCACCAACCATAATACTGTTATCACTCCACAGATGGAGTACTTCCTAGTTCAGTTCAAAGAATGAACATACAACTATTTTTCATATCACCTTTTTCTCAAATGAAACTTTTTCCGATTAACTCACTAACATGAAACTCTCTTCAGTTTGCACTTTTTGCAGTAAGAAACTACCTTGTTCCAATTCTGTCTCTCCATATCTAAGTTCATATAAAGCAGTGATAGGATGAAGAAAGCCAGGAGGAACAAAGTGATATGGAGATAGCTGCACAAGAATACAGGTACTTTGTTAGTACATTTTTTTTATTGGAAGGAGATATATTCATTAACGCAAGCAATCTTTCAGATGGTTCTTACAGAACACAATTAACTCAGCTTTTTCACAATGCCAAAAATCCATGAGAACAAGCATCCACAATATATAAATGTATAATAGAGACTGATAAAAATGAGCTTCAAAACACGATAATCTAACCCGTGGATGTTGTTTCAAGAGATTTGGCAATATCTTGTTCTTCAACGAGTGTAACTGATCAACTAGCCCAGGAACAAGTAACTTGGAAACCATCTCAGTCAGAAGCAAATCCTTTGTAGCATATAACAAAACTTCTAATTTATGATTTACTACTAAAAGCTTAGCTGCTCCATTTGCTGGCAAATAAAGAAATGAAATTCAAGAAACACAATTAAGATGGATTCTTAAAATGCATTAACATTCATATTACTCAAACTACAAACGGAAGGACAGGGCAATATCCTGTATCAAAATACTGCATAATTGTGAAAATATTGCTGGCTGATTTTATTATACCTGGATAATATTCAGCAAGAGGTGCAGAAGGTTTCTCACTTCTTGACATATTAAACATGATGCTGACCAGAATTTTGTCGACATCCTGAAGTGTCCCAAGTCAATATGCACACTAAAGTGACTAAAAATCAAAAGCTTAAAATCATTTTAAATGTCAGATAAAGGTATTACCTCCTCCACAGAGGAAAAAGATGCAATGTCCTTACTTTCCGAGAAAAAGTATGAACATCTGAGGGATTTTACAAGAGACTCTTCAGCAGATTCAATTATAAAAGCGTTGTCTGGAAGCTCAGCAGGAAGATCAATCCCATGAATAATGATTGGCGGCAATCCACCTAATGAAGGTTTATCTTGGGCTTCTATAACAAAAGCAACATCGGGATCCCTGAGTTTTCTTTCCACGTCTTCAATAGCTCTTGCATACACACCTTCAACATCTAAAGGAAATATAGAGTATTGAGCAAGAGAAAAGGAATAAAGGAAAGCAAGCCTCTAATTAAGTATGAAACAGACATCCTAGACATTATCAGGAGCCCAGAAAATACAACAATGTAAAATGCCCCACCTGTTCACAACAAAGATGAACAATATTTATCACAAGTATTTAACATGTGTTCTAAAAGCATTCCTATGTTGTTATTTTCCTTCAGTTAGGGTTTTAGAGGTTCAGTATAATCGAATTCAAACTGATCACATGCTCAAAACCCTACTAGTATGTCTTAGAGAAAATAGTTATATATTGATGCACCTTAATAAAAAGGTGTAACAAAGCTCAAGCTCAGCCTATTTGTTAAGAGAGTTGCAATGATCACCATAACACAATACTTAGTGAATATGTGCAAAAATAGTCCCAAGATTCCCAGCTCCCTAGTAGATCTTGCTTTCCTACAAAAGATCATTTTCCAAGGCCGAAAACAAAATTGAGACAAATATAAAATTTAAATGTTGATTGCAAAGAATATTAGTCAAATTTCTTCATAAGCATCCTTCCATCAAACTTTTCAACTTTGAGAACTTGACACCTCTAGGGTAATTTAACACTTGCTTGACTAACTTTATGGGAATGTAGTACTACATGAGCAATAACTGGTAACAAAATTGCACATAAAAAGAGGAAGATAGCATTTACCATTGGTATTAGTTGAAGAATAATACAAAGGCAACTTCACAGGAAGTTCGCAACGAACAATACAACCTCTGTCCCATACTTTCTTCTCAGGATGATCCTCATAAATAACAGTGCACACTTTTACTAAACTACTGGGATGACCCCTCCTAGATATGAAAAACTGCAGATCACGATCACTACTGCCATTGTTCAGATCCAATACAGCCCCAATCACCTCCTGAGATTCATTGTCATCACCATAAACCGTCTTCCTAAAATTCCTAACAGCTGAGATAGCATTATGGATAACTTTCTCTGCTTTCAGTTCATTATTATTATGGACAAACACTGCTCCAATAACTTCAAAACCCCTTGGAAGAAGACTCCTGATTTCATCTGTCAATCAAGGCCCACAAAATAACAAGAAAGATTATGACTTTGAGCAATATCATCTAAATTAACTCCAGAGTCCAGACCTATAACAATCCCAACCTAGCTCCTCTCAAGTTACACCAATTTCAAATTTCAAATTTTCTTTCCCCGTATAACCAAAAAGGATCAACTCCAGCACACTCAGAACAACTCCATTCTCTCCTATCAATAAAAAAGTAATGACAAAACATTAACATATATCATTCAAGTCATTCATCGAACACCACCAGCATCAACACAACATGCTCAAATGTCACTATATCCTTAAGACGTTCAAACAAAGACTAATAAAAAAACAAAAAGAAGACTAATTTCACATAAATTTACTCTTTATTCACTCACATTCCGAAAGGTATATCTCCATAAATCAATTCAACACACCTTCGAGACCTCCACCAAAACGAAATAATAGGAAATCACATGAATTCGTAATTGATTCCGCCAAAATACTACACCGAACCACCGCTTAGATCCTTCAGCCATAAAACCCGTGCACCGAGCTCCAGAGACAAGTATAAGAAAACGTACCAGATTCCTTAGAGAGGTCGACGGAAAGGGGATCGGCTTGAAGAATATGGAGGCATCGGATGGTGGAAGTGATGGTGAGAAAAGGCAGGAAGGGAGAACCGATCAGCCATTGCACGCCGGGCTCCTTCAAAATCAGCAGCCTTCGGCACAGTATCTTAATTACGACGTCGTTTTCGGTGCCCATATTGAAGAGAAATGACCGGTGCAAGTCAGCTTACAGGGGTTTTAGAAGACTTGCCCGACCGGTTCCGAACCGGTTCGCTAGTTTCCGACCGGCGGTCGCCATTGACCCGAATCCTAAACAGTTTTCTACAGTTCCTATTATCTGCAAACCATGAAACCGGCTGTCCATATAGAAAGCTTATTAGTCACCTTGGGCTCGGCCCAACAGCATGACCTAGTAAAATAAAGAAAATGAGAAGAAGAAAAAATAATTAAAGGCAAAATACTTTTATTATATATTTTATAAAAAAAAAATAGTAAAAATAACTGGTCTCGTAATTTTTATCAAAAATTAATATTATTTATTTTTATTAAAACATAAAAGATATTTCATTTTTATTATGACAGATAAATAAAAAAATAAACGTATTTTTATGACAATTTATATTTATAATTATTCAATTTCGTATATTTCGATTTGTTCCACAAAATTTATTTTTTTAAAAAAATAACTATAAATTTTAATTAAATTTTAAATTTTATAATTTATAATTTTTTAAATTTAAATTTAAATTATTTAGTTATTTCAATTTTAATCTATAAATATATATTATGCTATAATTATTTATTAATTATAACTCTCTGTTCTCGTATCTACAGCTAAATAAACATTTTATATGGAATAAATAAAATATTATATTAGTATTAAACTCGTATTATACAAAAAAAATAACGAAAAAAATATAATATTAAAAATTATACTTTATGTGAATGATATGTAAATAATCCGTCGTTGTTTGAAATTAATTTGACATAAAAATATATTTAGAGATAAAAAAAAATAATAAGTTTGTGATGCTAAGTTTGTTTTTGTTCCAATGACTTCTAATTTTATATTGATAAACGATCAATGTCCAAAGTTGAAATATGATATTGAATATAGGAAATGTATACCGCATTCTAATGTGGTAGAATCTGTTATATACTTAATAGTTACTACTAAGTACTTTCTCCGTTCCAAACAATGTGCAATATATATTTTTGGTATGGATTTTTAGGTGGGTAGCATTAAGTAGGATAATTTAAAATTTAAGTGATGTGATGGAGAGAGAAATGTATCTTTTATTTTTTTATTTGAATGATACGAGGGGATAAAGTGTGGGGTAGAGATTAAATATGATTAATTATTTCCTATTTTGAAAATATTGCAGGGTGTTTGGGACATACCAAAAAAAGAAATATTGAGACGGAGAGAGTATAATTTAACCTATATTGTTAGTTCTGCAAGTAGATATATGTCTAATCTTGGTTTACGACATTGATAGGTACTGTCAATACGGATTTAGTGTTTGGAAAGTAGACTAAGGGTGTGTTTGTTTGGGGGATTGGATTGGATTTATACTATTCATCTAATTTTTTCTCCCCAAAAAACATCCAATCAAATACCTATTTTTTATTTTTTATATTATACTAAAAATCAATTTTACATTCAAAACATTACATCAATACTTATTTATATCACATCATACAACTATTCAAATTCAAAATTTTTACTATTCAGATCCCAACTCAAAATCCAAACCCCCAAACAAACACACCCTAATAATATTAAATTAGAAGGATCTGTGGATTCTAATTATATAAACTACAAAGAATTTAGAAAATATACTGTGTTGTATATTTTATGTTACATGATACATTCATAAGTTGAAATTTTCAATTACAATACATAAGTAACATTGTTTACCGAGTCTGAATATATTGCTATAACCAAAGCATTAATGCTAAAATATTTATTAACATAAATTGGTTATTTGCATAATATTGTCACTGTCTACGTTATTAAATATGTGATTTTGACATTGATAAATAAAATATTGATTAGATTTTATTTATGAGATATTTATGTTAGATTTTTTTTTTTAATGAATGAACAAATTTATCAAATTATTATAAAATTATACCAATATTAACAACATATGGCGGCTTGCACGTCAAATTTACTGTTTTTTTTTTTTTTTAATTATTAAATTTTAACATTTTATATTAATTATTCGAAAATTTTAAAATAATAGACCATGAGTGATTTCCAACAAGACATTTGAATACGATGGAGATTCAACCGTGCGGCAAAGTCATTAGCAAGAATTTTTTTATTTAGTATTTTCTAGACGATAAGATTCTCTATAAATATTATTAAAAAAAATACAATATAAAGATACATTAACATAATACACATACTTTATTCATTTAAAAATAATACTCCCTCTGTCCCAGATATCATATCCACGTTGCCGTTTCTGTCCGTCTCACATACCATGTCACTTTCATTTTTTAGAAAATGATTATACACTTTAATCTCATTTTAAATTTTTTAATTTTTTTTTAATTTTAATTAAACTAATTAGTTATCTTAATCTTAATTTATAATTATTTATCTTATAGGATAATTATTTTTACTAATGTATTCTTAATTATCTACTAATTACACCCCTCCTAAAATACCGTATCTACAGTGTAGCAGACACGGTACCTGAGACGGAGGGAGTAATAATTTAACACAAAATATTGATTTTTATATCGTTGGACAATTCTTTATATCTAACATCAAATATAAAAATAGATGACATGCAATATTTTATAGTCTACAAAATAAATGCAGACCAAAAATTTGATCCGAGCACGAAATAAAAAATTAGTGCTTGAGCCTCCAAAAAAAAAAAAAAATTGAAACAAATTGTTTCGATTTTTTTTTTGATTTAATTATCTAATCTAACTCATTTTTCGATAATAATACACACTACAAAAAAATAGTATATTTGTAACGGAATTCCGTTAGTAAAATTCACGTAGCTAACGTAATTCCATCTCTAATTCCGTCTCTAATATAATTAGTAAACGGAAAAAGTGAATTTAGGAACGAAAAACCCTCTTTACAAAATTGATAATTTCTTGTAGTGACATAAATTGGTTTATTCGTAGCCCGGCCCGGCACGGACCGGCCCATCGAATACAGCCAAAACCCTAATTCCCCTTCAAACCTATCTTATTAACACATTTTGTTTTGTATCAAACCATGTGAGTGATAGTAACTCTAACCATGTGTTTAGTTGGTTAGATATAATCCTTGTCATTAGTTTGTTCTTTTTATTTTTTCCATGGTTTTTAGTGAATTTTCTTACTTATATTCTTTTGATAAAAATTTATTATTATTTTTTTAAAAATTAAAAATTAATAAAAAATATTCCACCCAAAATATTTTTATAAAACTTTAAATTACTTTCATAATTCTTAATAATTAACAATAAAAATAAAAAATCTCATCATTCCTAAAACAAACACAACCTAATTGTTTTGATCTTTGCTGCTTTTTAAGTGCATTAATGATTTGAATTGATGCATTATTATATAAAAAAATAAAAAATAAAAGTTTTTGCATAGTAAAAAAATAAAATAAAAATAAAAATAGAGCCATATTTAAACTGTATCCATTAAAAAGTTTTTTATCAAAGTTTATATTTTTAAATATAAAAATAATAGTAGTAAAAAATTAAAATAAACATATTCACAGTTATTTTATTTAAAATAATATTTAAAATGTTGTACATTTAATTGTAAAATCATACTTACTCCGTACCATATAAAGTATTTTTTTTTATTTTCTTTCGTCTATATAATTTTTTTTTAAAATATAAATATAGACTTTAATCATATTTTAAAATTTATAATTTATAATTTTTTTAATTTTAGTTAAATTATTTAATTATTTTAATCTTAATTTATAATTATTTTTATTATATAATAATTATGTTTACTATTATATTTTTTAATTATTTACTAATTATATTTTACATAAATTCTTATGCTACAGTAACGTGTACATTTTTAGTGAGACGGATGGAGTAATAAAATAAGAAATTCTACGCATTATTATTTTTTATAAAAAATAATATGTTAAAAGAACAATATCTTCCTCTATCCCACATAATTTGTCTCTATTTTTTATTTTCGTCTGTCCCACATAACATGTCTTTTTTATTTTTGGAAATATAATTATGTACTTTAATCGCATTTTAAATTTTAAATTTTATAATTTTCTTAATTTTAATTAAACTATTTACTTATTTTAATCTTAATCTATAATTATTTTTACTAATACAATATTTAATTACTTACTAATTATATTTTACTTAAATTTTCGTGTCTACAGTTATACACTTATATTACATGGGACAGAAGGAGTAATATATATATATATATTTTTTAAGAAAAAGTGTTTTTATGCAAGTTTGAAAACTTGAGGAAGGGCCACAGCATGCCACGCGGCTGAATATTCGTTGAAGAAAAGTAAGAATGATTTATGCAAGTGGGAACGTAACAATCTCAATGCACCGCACTTAAATTTATTGCACATGCCTACATCTTCAATTCATGTTACAATAAATTTCAATCTTGAAAAAAACACACACACACACACAAATGCACTTTTTTTTTTTTTTTTTTATAATTCATTTTTCTTATTGATTTTTTTTTCTAAAAAAAATGGAAATTTGAAACTGAAAAGTATAGTTGGAAGTTTGATTTTAATTGATTTTTTTTTTTTCTACTCCCTCTGTCACGTAACAATGTATCTATTTTTTTATTTTAGTTTGTTCCGTAACAAAGTATTTATTTCTTCTTTTAGTAACTGTACTATCTAACTAACGTTACAAATACTCTTACAATTTATAATATATTACACAAATATCATTATTTTTATATCATACATACTAATAAGGTTATTTTAGTCATTTATACTTTAAATCTACTACATTTCAATATAATACTAATATTTCTAAAACTACATGAAAAAAACAAATAAATATCTAATTATGTAACGAAATGGAGTATTATAAATTGAGGTATAATATAATATAATATATATTTGATTAAAAAAAAATATGTATGGAATGTTTTGAAAAATTGTACTTCAAATAAAATATGTTCAATAAAAATAAGATTTGACATAAAATAAAATTTTATATAATAT